TAAAAGCTAATTAATAAACACGTGATATCAAATAATTGGATGTCTAAAAATAAATCAAAAAATTCAGGGGAAAAAAACAACAGAAATTTAGGTAACAAACTATATCTCAAAATGGAAACTACCCTTCAAGAGCGGGTTTTCCTAGTCCACAGCCCATATATTCAACCCTAAATTTTTATCTTTACGCACTTGGTTTATTTAAATTTTTTTTTTTTTGGTTTGTATTACAGACACAAATAATTAAATACGTTGAGGTAATACTTTGTCGAACACTGTAAAATATAATTATCAACCTTAACAAAAAAAGTTTAACGGAAGCTTTAATAGACGATTCCAGAAATATGTATAATGCTCATGATAATGAGGATGATGTGAAATTAGAACCAAGACCTGAATTTGATGAGATTCAAAAAGTTTCATTCAAGTCATACCATCCTTTTACGAATGATTTATTTGATGATAAATCTATCATTAACTTATTTCAATATTTTTTTAAATTATTTAATACACATTATGAACCGGTATATATAGTTAATATGTTGAGACAATATTTTATAGATAATAAAATAAATCCTTCGAATACTTTCAAACAATTAATTCATCATAAAGATCAAATATATTTTTCAAGTATGATTGGATATTTTTATCAATTTCGTATTGGTACAGATATTAGTTATAGATTTGCAATTAAATTTTATTCACGTTCAAATCTTCAAGTAAAAAAATCTTTAAGTAATTCCAATTTATTTTCTGAATTAATTGAAAATAATTGGATTATCGGAAAAATTTCTCTAGCATATTTATATTTTTATGGGATTGGAGTTAAAAAGGATATTGATAAGGCATTTCTTTTATATAATGAAGTTGCTAAAAATAATTATGGTTTAGGACAATATTTTGTTGGTAAATGTTTTGAAGAAGGTTATGGAGTAGAAAAAAATAATAAAAAGGCCTTTGAATGGTACATGAAATCAACTAATAGTAAAAGAACAGCATGAATTGGTCTAATTTAAACAAGAATTCTTATTCCAAAAAGAAGCTTATACTCTAATAGCCGCAGATTCAGAAACTGATAACCAACCTTGGATAACCCCAACCCCTAGACTCAGGACCAGACCTCTTATAAACAACTGATACAGAAGATGTGGAAATTGTTACTCTAATGAACATGTTTTTGCTGACTGCTCTGATAATCAATACAATAGATGCAAAAGACTAAGACATATCTCTAAATATTGCTCTCGCAATCTACCAAAGCTAAACTACTGCAAAGTATGTGATAGCACTGAGCACCAATATGCTGATTGCCCTCATAACCGTTGCTATC